TATGCTGGTTTATTAAAAAGCACTATCACTGTGTTGGAACCCCTTTTGTGATCAGCATTGCTTTCATTTTTCATGGCAAAGATTCAACAAAATGTTTTGGAAAATTCTTCAGAGATTTTGGTTCATATTGATGTGATAGCATCACACGGTTGCTGTATGTGTGTCGGCTGCACATCCATGATGTGAATCTCCCATACACCACATCCCAAATGTGCTCTTTTGGCCTGAGATCTGGTGAGTACGCTGAACTCACTTTCTTCTTGCCATATTTTGTTTCTTGTCTTATTCAAGAAACCAGTTTGATCATACAGGAATGGACATCATCATCAACAATACTCAGGTGGACTGTGTTGTTTAAACAATGCTCATTTGGTGCTAATGGATCCAAAGCATACCAGAAAAATATCCCCAACACCATTACACCACTACCAGCAGCCTAAACTGTTGATACAAGACAGGATGGATCCATGCTTCCATGATGTTTACCTCAAGAATCATCACGTCAGACCAACTGTGGTGAGAAAATTTGCATCTTATCCTCATTGTCCTGTTCTTAGCCCACAGGAGTGGATGCCTATAGTTTTCTGCTGCTGTAGGCCATCTGGCCTTCTGCAAACCTTCTTTTGTAATGACTTGTAATTTGAGTTACTGTTGCCTTTCTATCAGGTCAAAGCAGTCTGGCCATAGTCCTCTGACATTAAATTAAATTAAACTTTTTAAAATCCAGTTTTATTTATATAATGCCAAATCCCAACAACAGTTGCCTCAAGGCACTTTATATTGTAAGGTAAAGACCCTATGATAAGACAAAGAAAATGGAGAAAAACAAAGAAAACCCCTATGACCCCCAGGAGCAAGTGCTTTGGTGACAGTGGGAAGAAAAAACTCCCTTTTAACAGGAAGAAACCTCCAGCAGAACCAGGCTCAGGGAGGGGCAGCCATCTGCTGCGACCAGTTGGGGGTGAGCAGATGAAAATAGGACAAAGGCATGCTGTGGAAGAGAGCCAGAGATGAATAATAACTAATAATTTAATGCAGAGAAGTGTATACAGACATAGTGAGTAAAAAAGGTGACTGAAGAAGAAACACTCAATGCATCATGGGAATGCAGCAGCCTACACCTATCGCAGCATAACTAAGGAAGGACAGGGTCACCTGATCCAACCATAACTATATGCAAGCCTAATCTTAAAGAGTGTCTGTCTGCTGAATCCAAACTAGAAGCTGATTCCACAAAAGATGGCCTGAAAGCTGAAGGCTCTGCCTCCCATTGTACTTTTAAACACTCTCGGAACCACAAGTAAGCCTGCAGTCTGAAAGTGAAGAGCTCTAATGGGGTGATACCGTACTATCATGTCATTAAGATAAGATAGCATCTGACTATTCAAGACCTTGTATGTGAGGAACAGGATTTTAAATTAAATTCTGAATTTAACAGGAAGCCAATATGAGAGAAAAGCTTTCTGTCTTTTAATCTCTGTCAGTACTCTGTTAAATCACCTTTCAGCTGGTTGTGCTATCTACATGCATAAATGCACAGAGTTGCTGCCATGTGATTAGCTGATAGATTGACTGTCTCCATCATCCTGACTCATTGAATGTGGATAAATCAGTGTGGGAGATGCCTGGACTGCTGGTGGGCTTCATTGACGCCACATTTAACCAGTCTACACAAGTGCAACCCCACGTGCACGCACACAAATGCATACTACAGCTGGGAACACTCCAGATCATTAACCACTTATGAATCACCAGCTTTGTTTCTTTTCACAGTAGCCACTTTCATCCAAGGGCAAAATGTGGGTCTATTGTTGTCTTTCAATATTTTCCTGCCAGTTAAGCGTCACTACAATGGTTTGTGTGAAGAGAATACACTGGCTGTCACACAATCATCCGATTGTGTTGCCTCTGAGAAACATGAGCTATGGTGGTTGACTGGCCAAAAGAAAAGTTATTGTAGTTACCAGACTGATCCCTGAACTGATGGCAGTAAGGATGAATTAATGACTATTATGATTCAATTTTACCATAACAAAAGCTTTAATGTCACATGATAACGTCACATGATAATCTCAAGCAGGCAATAGTCATTTTTTGACTTCAGGATTATTGTGCAGTCGTGTGATGCCAGCACCATTTCATTTTTCTCTCTTCAGAAAATAAAAAGGGGAAATATCTGTTTTTTATTAAAACAATTAAAACAACACTCTTATTGAAGTTGGGTGATGAAATTTAACACATCAACTAAATCTACAAAGAACAGAAGAGATCAGAAGTTAAACACAAAGAAACACACGGATATGTGCGATTCTCTGTGCATTATCACTTACAAAATTTGTTGCTGAATTACAGTAATCTACTGTTTTTACTTTGTATTTAACTATTTATGGATTTCCTCATGTGTTTCTGTGGAAAGTCGGGGTCATAAATTCACAGAATGCCTGGTGAAGTACGCTTTCCCTCTTTCCTGTTTGTCAGAGAGAGGCTGTTGTGCTTGTTATGGAAATGACACAGAAAGGCAGATATCTGGAGCAGATAGATACACACACACACACACACACACACACACACACACACACACACACTGAAAAGGTCAATTGTTAACAGCAAAAAAGAATTGAAGGTGAATTTTAGGCCCGCATAATAGATCCAGAGAAGCTGTCGAACCATAAATCATAAATCATACATAGTTTCACTTTAGTTTCAACCTGCCTGAGGGAAACCTGTTGAAAGAGCAGGTTTGAGACTCCAGTTTGAAAAACACGTTTAGAGGTTTGTTCTCTGGTCAACAAAACATATCATAAAATTACACAACAATTTTTTGCCTACAAAATGTTATCATGAAATATGATGTCAGTGATGTTTATGTTTCCACCTAACGGGATCCTTTGCTGCCATCTGCAGGAAGTCGAGGCTCAGTCTTGTGACTTTAGCTTGTTGTGTATCATTTGTTTGAAGCACCACACTGATCAGCAGTTTGTTCATGTGTCTCAAATAGACAAACTTCAGTGAGTTATTATAGGACCAAATAAATAACAACAAGTCAGCACTATGATATGGCTCTACAACTATCAAAAACTAGTGTCTGAGAGCATCCTGCTGCCATACAAAAGGAAATTGTAACAACATTACATCACAGACATCTCAAATGTACTTATAACAGTGTTGTAATCTGTATGAAGATAAAACCCAAACATCTAAGCCACTAACTCTAAAGTGAGGGGATTTAACTTTTTGCCACGGTCCACATAAAGGCAGGAATAATTTTAGGTTATTCTTATTATTAAGTTATTCTGAGGGACCATCATTACCCTGTAAGGAAACATTACTGTGCTGAGGGGATCGGTGTCTTTTAATGATAACAAATGGTGGGAACAAATGATGGGAACGATGGCTCCCTGAATGAAGTTTGAACATGTGCTATGTGCGGTGACATCTGTGGGACAGTTTGGACCCATCTAAATCCTGTGTGAGGGAATATCTTTTGGAGTAAAAAAACAAAGGCGTCCTTTTGTTGAGAAATTCAATTCAACAGAAAGAATATGTAACTATTTGACTAAGTCCTGCTTTGTTTCTTATGCATCAGTGACATCTACTGTATGCACCCTGAAATGCACATTTTCCTATGTCCATATATTATTTCCATCACACACAGAAATAGTCCTAAAGAACCCAAATGAATAAATAAAATAAATATAAATAAATATTCATTTAAATAGATTAATCAGCTCTGTTCTTTAGCAAGACTCGCATGTATAATAAAACATAACTATGTGAGAAAGGAAAACAAATATTTTAGTTTGAGGAAAAATTTACAGTCTGTTGAGAAGAATTACAAATATAGATAAATAAATGAAGAAATGTGTAAATGTAAAAATGTAATAAAAATGGGAATATAAATTAAAACAGGAGTTAAAAGGGTAAATAAAGAATAAATAGAAATTTAGTATCATTTTGTATGTATTTTTATACTACCCTTTTTGTACTACCTATGTTACCTTTTTTGTTTTTACTGTTGCTAATTATTATTAAAATCCCAACTTCTAAAATAAATATTTTACTGAAATTCCTTATAAAGCTCCTTATAGGCACTTGCATACAAAAATAAATGATTAATACAGATTTATGTATTTTTTATTTATTTATTTTGCTGCAAGATGTAAAGTCAGATGACTGCAACTGCAGCAACAATTCCCTTTGATTGTTAGGGTACCTGGGTCGTTGACCCAGTGTTTTCAGTTTTGTACCTTTATTTGTGTTCTCGTCTTGGTTTATTACTGTGAAGGTTTTGGTTTCTGTTTTTTTGTTTTGGTTTCTGTTTTGTATTTTCCCCGGTCCTTCTTGGTTTATGATTTTGTAGTTCTTAAGTTTGGGTTTCCATACTCCCTCTGTTCTGTGTCTGCCATGCTCCCAGTCTCTGTTCCCTCTGTTGCAGTGTCTGCTTGTGAGTCCGTCTGTAAGTTCAGTCTGTGTTTCCTGTTTTACTTTGAAAGTCCGTATCTCATGTTAACGTGTCTGGTTTTGCTTCCTTTGACTTGTCAGCCTTGATTTGCCCCAGCTGTGTTTCCCTCCTGTCTCCCATTCTGTCTGTCTCTCCTTCTGTGTATTTAAGCCCTGTGTTTTCATTTGTCTGTGTCATAATCTACCCTCATCTTACTGTGTGTTCTATTGTCATTTTTCTTACTTTTGAGTTCACATTTTGACTCACTTGACATTGATTTTTTTTAAAAAGAATTGTTATTACCAAAAAAGGTAAATAATATTAACCTTTAAGATCAAGTCTAAAGGCCAATTAAGTATTTTATAATGTGAAAAAGGCAATTCTGTGAAATATTTTGAAATCATTAAATGCGAAATATTTAAAAATGAATGTCCATTTCAGCAAATCAGTGTATTAATATCTATTATATGCTTTAAATGTGTACCTGAGTACACGTTTTTTTTTTTTAATTTCCCTGTTTTTCAGAGCAATAATCCAGCAATAATAAAGAAGTCTTAAATACAGATGGTAAAAACATTTCTTTAATTTCATTTTCACTTACCATCAAATTATTGTAATCAAAACCAAAAAAATATCCTTTACAAATACAGGCTAGCTGTGTTCATACAAATTAAAACTGTTGGATAAATACACCAGCCTTTCAACAGTTTCTTGATACAGAAAAACAAAACCCAAAAAGGAAATAGACGCTAGGACTACAAAGGTATGTTAAGGTTGTGTATCATTTACATAATTCATATGCGTATGCATGTGTATGTTTTTTGTACGAGCTCTTCTGTGTATTTGTTTATGACTGTGTGCCCTCTAAATGATTGTCCGTGCCTCATCTTGGGCCAAGCTTCAAGGGAGCTTTAGGAGATGAGAGGTTCCTCCTGCCGTGGTGCGGCTTCACCTTCAGGTTTTGTTTTGGTGCTGGTTTCAAGTAAAAATGAAGCTGTCAGGGACCAGATGGAATAAAAGGTGTGAGTTAGTTTATTTAGTAGACATAAAAACACAGACACCACACAATAACCTCAAGTTTGGTCAGACCAACCATACGAGCAGAAACCAACCTGTATGGCCTCAGCTGGTCCCACTGTGACAGTGCTGGTGAAAGGGAGGTAACCGGGTGCAGAGGCTGTTACAGTGTAAGTGCCTGGCAACAGAAGTCTGAAGTAGTCGCCATCAACTCCTGAAGGAGCACATGTAAGGAAAATTATGAGACTCGTACAGTCGCTGTATCTTAATTAAACATATTCCTGGAGTGCCACCAATATGTCGACAATGACGGTAGTTTTTTAACATAAAAAAATAATTCACACTAAATAAAGAAAGTTGTAGGTGCCAAATTGGAAACTGATTATGAACTACGCGATGCCATCTCCCAGAGGGGTGTTCACTAGTGCAATATGTTGATGATTTGCTCATTGCAGCTCCGTCTGCTTCGGCATGCACGGCAGCTTCACTTACCATACTGAAGAGACTCGCTGAGTGCGGTTTCAAGGTCAGTAAAGAAAAGTTGCAGTTGGTCCGACCAGAAGTAACATTTCTGGGCCGTGTCATTGCTCACAAATCAGTGGGTCTGCTAAACACTCATCGTGATCAAATTTTGACACATCCAAGACCGCGTACGGTTAAGGAGTTGCTCTCATTCTTGGGGTTAACAGGATACAGCCGGCACTTCATTCCAAATTATGCAGGCAAAACAGCCCTGTTGAGGGATTTGGTAAAAACGGCAGGTGTCAGAAATCTTAAGGCTGAACTGCCATGGACATCGGCCACTGAGTCGGCGTTTATTGCATTAAAACAGGACTTATCCAGATCGGCTGATCTTGCTATCCCTAATTATGAACAACCCTTCTATCTTGATGTTTCTGAAACACACGGGATAGCTAATGGGGTGTTGTTTCAGAAAAAAGGGGGGGGAAGAGATGTACTTATGTACGTCAGCATCAGGCTGAATTCATTAGAGACAAGGCACCCGAGATGCACTCAGCATGCCATTGGGGTGTCAAAAATTATACAAAAGACAGCACATATAGTGAGGGACCATCCGTTGAAGGTGCTGACCACCCACAGTGTGGTGGCATATGTTAACTCACAAGCCTTCACCATGACACCTCTTACACAACAGAGAGTGTGTAAAGTTTTAGACGCTCCTAACTTGACCTTCACACATGAAGGAATTAACATGGCAGATTTAATGGAGTCAGGAGGAGAACCTCATGACTGCGCAAAGAGAGCTGAAGTGGACGAGAAGATAAGAGAAGACTTGAAAGCAGAACCTCTGACAGGAGCTGAAGATTGGTTCACGGATGGATGCTGCTACAGGGATGACGAAGGATTAAAAGCAGGCTACGCGGTAGTTTGCAGAAAAGGGGCTGCATTTGAAGTGAAGGAGGCTGGAAGACTTGAAGGGCAGCAGTCAGCCCAAAGAGCAGAAGTAATTGCTCTAAGTCGAGCTTTGAGACTTGCAAAAGGAAAAAGAGTCAACATTTACACGGACTCAGCTTATGCCTTTGGAGCGGCTCATGTGGAGCTGGCCCAATGGATAAGAGCAGGATTCAGGACAGCAGATAACGCACCAATCTGCCACAAAAAAGAAATGGAGGAACTTGAGCAGGCCTTGGGAGATCCAGAGGAGGTGAGCATCATAAAATGCAAAGGCCACTCCTCAGGGACCGGCCTGATGGCCAGAGGAAATCAGGAAGCCGATCGAGCTGCAAAAGAGGCAGCGGGTTATAAAGCATCACGACAGATGGTACAAATAACGGTGGAAGAAGAATTAGGAGTTAACATGCTAGAGGAAGCCAGGACGGCCCAAGGGGAGGCTGCCCCAGAAGAGAAGGGGATCTGGAAGAGTCGAGGAGCCTGGGAAGAAGGAGGTCTCTGGCGAGGACCTGACGGTCGACCAGTGTTGACAGCCAACTTGGCAAAACAGAAGATTGCCGAAGCGCACGGCCTTGGACATGTAGGTGTCGCCCAGATGGGGAGACATCTGTGCCATTGGTGGCATCCCTTTTTGAAGGATATGATCAAGGAGAAGGCTGGGACGTGTCTGATCTGTGGGAGGCACAATCCGAAGCCAGTGATTAAACCAGAGGCAGGTAAGTTCCCCATTCCAGAAAGACCAGGTGAAGAGATTGTCATTGACTTCACTGACATGATTGATCCAGGCCCAGGAGGAGTTCGATATCTACTGGTAAGTGTAGATGGTTTGACGGGCTGGCCTGAGGCATGGCCTACCAAGAGGGAGGATGCAAAAAGTGTGATTAAGTGTTTAATCAATCATTACATCCCCCGGCATGGTTTCCCTAAGCGGATCAGGTCCGACAATGGGACTCATTTCAAAAACAAAGATTTGGCAGAGGTAGAACAGAAGCTGGGGTTGCAACATAGATTTGACACGGTATATCATCCCCAGTCGCAGGGAAAGGTAGAAAGAATGAATCTAAACCTGAAGAATAAAATTGCTAAAATTTCTGCTCACACGGGGCTAAATTGGGTAGCGGCCCTGCCAATTGCATTGATGATAATAAGATGTTGTGTTAATCAATCCACAGGTTTCACACCATATGAGCTGTTGACAGGACGACAGTTTCCAGGTCCTTGGACAACAGTTCCGGCGGAAGAAAGTGTAAAAAGTAACAGAAAACATTGAATGTTGGAAAGAATTAAAAGCTCTTGTGTCTAGTTTCACAAAACAGGTTGGAGAAGGGGTGAAAGCGGAGGACAGGTCCATCCCCGATGCCAAGGCGGTGTGGCTGAAGGTCATTAAGCGAAAGTGGAGAGACCCGAGGTGGACCGGACCCTTCGAAGTAACTGCCCGAACCACCAGTGCTGTCCGTCTGAAGGGGAAAGGGGAGACCTGGTTCCATTGGTCTCAGTGTGCAGTCGCGGACGAGAGCTTGCTGGAGCTAGCCTCCACCCCATCGACGCAGGGGGGAACATAGAGGCAGAATAATCCTCTCTCCCCCTGTGCCACGGTCCTCCTCAGTAGTCTAACCTGAGTGAGGCGAAGAAAGAAGAGGAGCGTCACACGCCAAGGAGGAATCCATTCCAGGCTCTTAAATAGGCTAGGGCTCTAGTCTAAAGTATTTGATAGTTTAAAGGAATCATAATAGTTTTGTATGATACTCGCATATTTTTATACTCATAACTTTATACTCTTCTTTTGGTAACTTTATCTTTTTAGTACAGAGTAAAAGTAAACGAGCCTGGGAACAGTCATCATGAAATTGTGGGAAAATTGGAGAATAACGGGGGTGTTGGGGTTAATAAGTGTTATAACGTGTTTCTTTGTTTTTTGGCAGACAGGTGAATTGCCCAGACACAGAGGTTTATCCGCTCCAGAGCCCGAACCGATCAAATCGTCGAAAAAAGTCAAGTGTACGGTTGGTTCAGGTGGGGATGATGGGTGTCTCAAAGCCAGTGGCGGAGTCGAGTTTGGGTATGTTAATGGATCCACGACAGCGTTTACATTCGATTTGTGTGAGGTAATTAAATGCTCGGGTGACGGGAATAGCTGGAGAACATATAATGTGTGGGTTTGTTATCATCCAATGATGTGTTACCCTAAGTCGGTGTGGGGCCCATCATGGGATAGTGAGATCTACACCTATGTAACGGATCAGTGGTGTTCTTGGCAGGATGTGGTCGCGTGGACAGGGGTAGGATGGCAGCCAACGGTGCCACCGGCCCTTGAAGGAATAGCTATTCAGAGAGATTATTCTGTTACAAATAACCCTATTACTCTTTCCCTAGGACCATGGAATGAACTCCCTGAACCTGGGTTTGATGGAGGTGCGTTTTATCTAGTAGTAGGGGTAGATAAAGTAGGGACAGATCCATTCGGGTTAATTCGGGTGAATTTATTTAATCCCAGGTCTAAACCGCTGGGAAATGACTCAGCACTGAATCTCACGGTGCAAATGGATCCCTTAGAGACAGTTACTTACAAGGATTCAGAAGAGAAATGGTTTGTTGCCACGGATTATACTAGGTTAAAACCTCAGGAGTTGATAGAGCGTGCCACAGGTTTTGGAGATAGGAATCTTTGGTTAGATTGGGTGGCTCAAAATGCTAAGGAGCAGAAAGTGGTTGATTGTGTTGCTTGTGCTACCGCTCGACCTCATTTGTTTACTGAACCCGCTCCTCTGTATCCAGAGGATGAGTGGGGATATAATTGCATGCTGAGATTAACTAGAGAGGCGGTGGACACAGATAACTGCACCACTTTGTCAGGTTTATATCCGCCAATTGATAAACGTACACAACCAGGTTCATTCACACCAAAACGAGATAATTATACATGTTTTGAGTTCTCTACAGATAGAGTGAGATTTAGGCTAGGAAGGATTGATCCAAGCTGGTGTCAGAGGACAATCACAGGTAGGACTACCAATGATGTAAGTGACCCAAGCACAATTATAGGCACCTGGGCGAGAGGTGGGCTATACTATTATTGTGGGGAGTATACCCTTTTGGTGCAGGTTCCCTTGGGGAGTGTGGGAACGTGTGCTCTGGTGCGCCTAGCTGCACCTTTGATGCTCATAGGCAGTAGGCTAGAGACAGTTCCACAGCAAGGCGCGGATGTGTCTACAGCCAGACGGAGGAGAGCCACAGGGGGTATCCACAGGTATGATCCAAGACGGGACTCGCCAACCTGGATAGACTCAATAGGAGTTCCCAGAGGAGTTCCAGATGAGTATAAGTTAGTTGATCAGATAGCGGCCGGGTTTGAAAGTGTGTTTTTGTGGGTGACTCCAAATAAAAACGTTGATCGCATGAATTATGTTCATTATAATGTGTTGAGACTCTCTAATCTCACTAGGGACGCGGTGGAAGGTCTTGCAGAACAATTAGGTCCGACATCGTTAATGGGAATCCAAAATCGAATGGCGCTGGACATGTTATTGGCTGAGAAGGGAGGCGTCTGTGCGATGTTTGGGGATTTATGTTGCACCTTTATTCCCAACAATACAGCTCCGGACGGAACGGTTACGCGGGCCCTGGAGAATTTGAAAGCGTTATCTAGAACCATGCATGAGCAATCAGGCGTGAACTCGAGGCTGGGAGACTGGTTCACATCTGTTTTTGGGCAATATAAGGGATTGTTTATGTCTGCCATGTTTTCTCTTTTAGTTTTTCTAGGTTTATTGCTGTTCGGGTGTTGTCTCATTCCTCTGGTGAGGCAGGTGTTGGGTAATCTGG